TAACACATCTTATGGGTTAAACGGGCCCCAAGATGATCCGAACCTATAATAAGTTAGATTTAGATTTCAACTACGACAATGAGTCTAAACATCGATGTTTTACGTTTAGTGTTCAGAGATAATTTAGATTAAGAATGATTAAAAATAATTTATTAATATAGTGTACTTATTACACAACATTGATATTTTTATTTATTCATGTATAATTTCTGTTTTTTCTTGTTCTCTATTGATCTAAAGGGCGTAAATAAACTATTATTATCATATATTATACAAACATAGATATTGTGTTTATAATACTTGGAGATTCGTGTTATCGCTGCAATTGGCAATTTGTGAGTTGTTATGAAATTATTTACAATAATACGCAACTAAGTTTATAGAAACAATCTCTGTATAGTACTTAAATTATTATCTAAAAATCCGGTTAATACACCTTTGTAAATATACATTATTATATACATTTGTTAAAACTAAATTTGGCACACTTTCTCAATTTTATTTTGGTGTGTGGTTATTGAAAGAGTCCGTAGATTGAATCAACTGTACAGAAAATGTTTTATATTATTTTATTAATTTATTACAAAAATCTACTATTTTCAGTATAAATAAAATGTCCGGTAATACATTATTAGTTTTAATGGTATTTTTAAACTTTTAACAGTATTTTTTTTCTGTTTTGTTCCGTTAAAACATACATTAAAAATATGTAACGTCTGTATAATATGGAATAATTTTCTGTTAGAAAAATAAAATTAAAACTAAATGAGTCTTTAATGATGGTTTTTTTTTAAGCTCCCGTTCTTATTATGGCCATTAAAACACATTGGCCGCGCCGTTACGCCACGTTTTAGCCTGGGGTTGTACCCGGCGTTTAATTAGGCAACATGTATGCAAACGATGACCTTCATTTGAATTTTCGTCGAGCCGCGGCCGCACAATAAAGTATATTTCCGTGCCTTCCTAATTTTAAGCACGTAACGGTTTCTAAAAGTAACGACCCACAGCTCTCCGGTGGAATATGCATTGCGAGGGTTTACGGTATCGAGGAGGCGTTAAATTTCTATACGTTTTAATATATAATATAAATTATAATAATCGCAAAAACAAAAACTCGCCGATCCCTCTGCCCGACTAATCGATGAGGGGTAGCTCACGTTTATTTAATTGCCGATATAACTTTGTATATATTACCACTCTATACGTTCCGTTTAACCCTTCTCGCCGGGTTGTATATGGCTTAGCAAAATTTAATAGTAAATATTGATAGCCCTTCTTCGAATTTCCGCCATAGCAGTAACGGCGATTATAATCTTGGAGGACCCAAATGTGTAATATTGTTATCATTATAGTTTGTATATTATATAAATGTATATATATATATATATATATATATATATATATATATATTCTGTGCGGCGGAAATTAATAGTGCCGACACAAGTACACACTCTGGCGCTGTAACGTTATCCGTATGCGGTTTTCTTATGTGCGAGTGCCGCAACTTTGCAAATACCACCGCTATATTATGTATCCTCACACGGCCATTAACTTTTGCGACCCTTATAGCCAATGTTGTGCTATGGTGGTGATTTTGTTCTGGCGCGGTGCGGTGTCTCTACTAGACATGTGTAGTGTAGTGTAGCTATACGATCTTTGCAGTTTAGAATTAAATTCACCACTAAGGCGCTAGGGGATTGCGAAAAAATATACCATGTCAGCGAACACTTTGCCGATAAAGTTTTTGCCCTCAAAATGGTTTTTCGAGTACCGTCTTCTTATTTTTTTTTTTTACGTCTTGTTCGGCCCATCTTGCCTTTTGACCCGAAGAGCATTAAGAACCACCGTCACCCTCCCCCTACGGAGTTGTCGCCGCTGTGGTAGTGAAATACTGATATCACCTCCAAGTACACTAAAATCGGTTCAATGGTACGGAAACCGAATGATAACGTTATTTTTGTGGAGAGGAGGGGGCATAGCTGCTGCCGTGAGCTGGCGTCAGAAACTTTGGATACCGGATATCCTTTGTTTTTCGACAATATATATTATATATGTATACAAAAAAAAGTAATAATAAATAATAATGATAGTAATAAAAAAAGCGGTAAAACAAGAAAATCTAGCAAAAATGAAATCATTGTTTAATGAAAAACATGCTTGGGGTGACAAAAAAATTTGTTCACGGGTACGGAAGAGAGATAATTTTTGGATTCATTTACAATTTTTTCCAGGGAGGGTAGAGATCGTCGAGATGCCACCACTGGATTTAGGGATACATACATGCGGGTACCTACGCCATTATAATACATATGCAAAGTGTAAAAGTTACATAAAACCGACTGTAATACGTCGGCGGTATCTCTGTGAGGTCAATTGAAAGTAATAACTAATAATACCGAAATCGTTCGCCGCACGCGTTTGCACGTTCCCATCTTGGCGCTAGGAATTTATTGTCGATTTCCGTGATGCTTGCGGTTAGGTTTCCCTGGATTTGAGACAATACAGGTAGAAAAATGACGAGATGTCCCACTATAGTCCTGGTACCGTAAAACAGGCAGATATTAATAAGAGTCAATAGTAGAAAAATATGCATGTCCATCAATCCGATAGCCGCTATTATTAATTTGATACATTAACAGCTTTTTAGTACACGTGTATCGGCGACAAAATAAACGCTTATATGAGATAAACCTTAAATAACATAGAAAGAATAATTTGTTGTTTTTTATTTTCGTGACGATGATAATCATTTTGAAATGTTTTTTTTTTTTCATAGGTAGACTAGCATAGAATGTTACATACATATTTTATTATAATACATGAATTTTAACATCACCACATTATGTTGTAGCGTTGGCTTTTGGCCATCATACTACACCGCAACAATATTGTGTTAAGTTAAAAAATATATAAATAGACATTTTATTGGATCAAAAAGTAAAAGTAAGAGTATTTAAAATTCGTTTAACGTTCAATAGTAAAGCATTATAAATGGATAGAATTATTGGTCCATAAATATTTAGTAATTGACATAACATAGTTGAAAGTAATATTAACTGATTGGTGAAGGACAGGTATTATTCACGATGGATGAAATAAATCTGGGGGTGTTATCGTTCACATGGCCGAAAACATACTATTGACCGTCCGATTTTTATTATTAGTATGTATATTTTTTTCTACAATTCTGACGCGACGTTGTGACTTGGAGTTAAAGAAAACGAATAAAGTAATACATTTTATTCGGTTTGGACACAAATAATACAGGAGGGAAATATAATATTTATTATTGGATTCGAATGTCTGTGGGGATAGTGTATCAATGGTTTTTAAATGCGTTTCAGCGAAGGAAAGGCATTAGCTGGCACATGACGGCAGTGGTGGCGGCGCCGAAACCAGAACGGTTGAATGAATGTTATGTAGTAACACATTCAAAGTTTACCAGAACTAACGTTTGTTACAAATTTTTATTATATATATATATATATATATATATATATTATTTTTTCCTGGTTTTACTCTTTTTCTATCGGCCAAAAAGTTGGGTCAGCAGAAGACTTTTGGCGCCAATACCGTCCACCACTGTCGTTGCCGCCACCGCCGCCACGTTCTGCGTCGGTAGAAGCGAACACACTTGAATTCACTCGGAAAGAGAGTCCTGCACCGACGACGATATACTATGATTTGTTTTTTTTTCTTTTTGCGCTTACTCGCACTACAATCAGCCCCACGGTCGACGACAGCCGACGATATTTTTCGTTTCGCCGCCAACAAGCTTTTTGGAAGTTTTCGACTCGTTTCACTTAACCTTTTAACGCCTCGGCACTAAAGAATTGGCCCGAAAAGTTCTCGTGTGCGCTTTTTGTGTAATCTTTATCGCGCCAGCACCCTCCACGCGGCATTTAATTCTCGCGCCAACTTTAAAGCGCTTTTTTTCTTTTGTGCATATACCGCATTAAAAATAAATAAATGGGGCGACAACGCAACGCGCCCGTTCGTTGACGATTTAATAATTTTTATTTTTACGACACTACTCTCATTGTATTAGCAAAACTCAAATGGTTTGCCCGAAGGATGATTCTTTTTTTGATTTTCTCAGAGAAAATAATGTCACCATGCTCCTATACCGTCGTGTGTATGCGAATATGGATTATTATTGATTAGGTACTCGACCACGGCGCCCACGTTAGTTTTGTTGTATTATACTTGGCTCGTCTGTACGGTTTGTTTGAGATCTCATCCATTAACTAATTACCGCAGGCGACTCTCTAGTGAGCGATGCATTATCTCCATAAATACTAACGCCGACCACCACGGCCGTTGACTAAACAATGAAATTTAGGTGGTTTCAAATACGTCGGAACGACCGGCGTAAGGTCCCTTAAGGTTTGATTATAATGTCAACTATTAGCGTCACCGCGTACGTCAATACAACGGGAGTATACATTATTAATCATTCTCATAAAAAAAAATGTCTTTTGAAAAATCGCCTATCGTCCCGATTGATGTGATTGGTGTAAATGTATTAAACCGGAGTTAGAGGCGTTTTTTCTTATTCGCCTAGTCACGTTAAATAGTTTGCTCAGTCGTTGACAATTTTGAGTTATAACGTTACAATATCGACCGAATGTAGCGCTTAGAGTATACTCTAAAAAGCAGAACGACCGTACCTGGAAAAGTACAACGGCGACCTATTGTATGCCAAATGACTTGCGCTAATACTTAAAATATGGCGGCGATGGCCCCGACGACCACATGTCCCGTTCGGTTATTTGACCGGCTAACAAATTATCAAATAATATGTATTATTTAACTGAAAGTAGCGTGCTCCATATTGCACTTATTTTCCAAAGAATGTTTTACAACGAATTTACACAGTTATTGAATATTGTTGTGTTCTTCGCCCTTGTCACGTTCACCCACTCATCCACAACGCCACGCCATAAAAATAATATGTATATTTTATGTAATTAACGTTATTCGCTCTTTGTATATTTCAGATTGAAGACGCCATGTTGATGTTCGACAAACAGACAAATCGGCACAGAGGTAAGTGCGACAGTATTGCGCTTTTGTAATCTAATTTCTATATTTTATATGATATTGTACGATGTGTATTTCTGTTCCCGGGGAACATAGTACAAGAGAGAAAATCATAGTTTTATTATTCGACAGCGGGAGCCCGCAAATAGGAGTAAGGAAAAAAGGAGAGGATAGAACAAATTGGTTGTGTGCGTTTGATTTACTGTCAGATTTACACAACGGCCGCGCGGCGTTGGTTGCCGATTATTGGCGTGTCGGAGAAGGAAAAGAAAAAATATTATCTATTTGCCGTCGTAGAAGATTATTTGGTCGGAGAGGGAGTTGTTTATATATATATATATATGACAGTTTTTCGTTTTGGAGGCCGCAGTTAAATAATGAGCGTATGAGGGGAACCATAAGGATGCCTATTAAGGGATGTTATACGAAGCGCGTCTCTCTTAGGGCGGCGCCAGCACCTTAGAATTGATGACTGGTAAGGGGGCTGTTTGCTTGCTCACGGGACACTCGACGGCTGCTTAATAAAAGACCTTATACACCGACGGATCGTGAGCAGGAAGACGGCAATGAAGAAAATCTCTTCTGTATATGACGTTAGATATTTTACTACTTCTTTCGCTCTCAAACATCTCCACCGCTTAATTATGACCCATTTAAGACTTATCACTGTCTAATTTTCTAAACGTGTCTACATGCTATTTTTCACGGACAAATAAATAAAATGTTTAGACGACTTAAAAAGGGAGGTGCTGGCTGCGCAAATGAAAATGGGGATTTCTTCTCATTTCTTATAAATTATGTCGATTATATATTTGGGCGGCTTTAGAGGGTAAAACGGGATGGGTGTACTGGCGATAAATTACTGATTGAAAGAAAAGGAACTCGATCGAAGTTAATGGGCTTTTTAAGAAAGAAACAATATCCTCGTTGGCTCGCCTGTATAATTTTCGGATAGCGGTGGCGCACTAGTTATTATCTTCTTTCGGCGATGACGGCGCCTGCACAATCAATCCTGAGCCAATTTAATTTTCAGTATATGTTCTTCGTATGTATATACATACCCAATATAGTTATATAAATATTTTGTTCATCTTTTTATTGCACATTCCGTTTATTTTTTCTTTCTTAATAATATTAACAAATATAAGTTTTCCGAAGAAAAAAAAACAAAAGAACGAAGGAGAATACATTTTATATAAATCTCGATGGCTTAGATTTGCCGCTATCGAATAGAGAGGAATCGCATATTATATTATAATATGTACGGGCTGATACATAAGATATTGTGCGCGAATGGGGATTTACCATGAGCGTTTCGTATTTCTTACTTAATTTAGAACGAGTATTTTTTCCACCGTATTTGGCCTCCCTATCCCCGTGTCGGTCGTAAATACGAAAACGTAGATTTGTGCACCACGCTAAAAACGGAGAGGACGGATTTAAAAAAAAAGAGAGGGAAAAACCATTGAGCGAATGCAAGAAAGAAAGAGCGGTAAAGAGAGACAACGGGTGGACTGACCCGGGGTAAGGCTGGTTTTCGGCGTGAGGGGGCGTACGAAAGGAGCGCGGAAAGGGAAATACTTAAGAAACTCTCTCAGAGATTTGGCTAGATTTAAGGTTTAATTTCGGCCCTGTTTTCGGAATTAAACCATCTCGGTGCTTCACTCCGGAAAATTAGCTCCTTAATCTCGTATCGTCTTATTAGTACCACCACCGTCACTGTTATATATATATATATATATACCCAGCGTTGTGTCGTCGACGAATGTACATATATATTAATATATCCTATACTTATTCTTATTGCGAGAGCGCAGCTCTCTTGTAATTATTATTTTTGTACCAAAGGCATTATTTGTCCGCCGACATCTATTATTGTAATCGCCGTGCTATACAGACACGTGAGCCTTATCGATATTATCTATTTGATACGGGTTTATTATTATTGTAAGAATATTTATAAATTATAATATATGGTAATTTTATAGACCATCTCAGATTATTTTAAAACCTAATACGTATTTTTTTTTTGTTGATTACTTCGACTCAGTTTAGTTTTAACTACTGAGTACTGTAATCGGTTAGGTATAAGTGTTGGAACTCAGCTTTTTGTTTTATCCTGAACTAAATCTTACGATGCTAATATAAATGATCGTCTAAATAATAACTAAGTGGTTAAAAGCTTACGAACACAGGAATAACCATCAAATACGAGGAAAATGTGTTATTATTAATTTTTTTTTTTTAAATATAAAATTTTCAACAAAAAAGGGACACATTTCTCGTTGGCAAAACGTTGGCGGCAGCGTTATACTGTATAATATATATTATATGGAAGAGCCCGAGCCTAGTCATTAGTCTTCTGCTGTCAACGGGGGTCGGCCGCTTACTCACGACCCTGCCCCTTACTATTCTTCCGGTCCTTTTTTTGAACCATAAACAGTGCGGCCGGCGGGTGGGTAGATTGTGCTGGAGGTTCCCTTCCTTTTTGGTCGCTTTCGGTTTGTAAACCATGTGAATCGATACTACGCCGTGGTGTATACACACACACATATAAATACACCGTCACTCGGTCCGATCGGGATGTGCTGAATATTCTTTTATATACCTAAATAAAACACGTTCTCTCAACCTGACCTGCCTACCGTATGCCACTATAGAGGGTCCCTGTCTTTCTGTTTCGTTTCCTGAGTATAATCGCGCCAATTCTTTTGTTTACGTTCAATGAGCACGTGGGTACTTCACTCATAACGTATTCAATACGAAGAAGTCATCTCATCTTTCATCCAGGTTTATATTTTTTTTCTCCCCTCTAACGAACAAATCCAGACACCGGAAAATTCGTTTAGGTTTTATGGTTTATACTATAACATATACATAATATGTAGGTATACTTTAAATCGCCTTTTTGACGTTATCTTGATTTCATTATTTTGGGCTTTTCAATTAAACTCTTTTTGTATACCACCATCAGCATAATCGAATATAATAAAACATTATTGTTATTAACGACGGCGCCTCGTATCGGCAATTTTGCTACGCTCATGTCGTGTACGATATGGCCGTAAACAATAACTACAAAAATAATAGTATTGTTATAAACAATTGACGATAATATCTGTTATGAATATACGCGTTATGTAAAAACAATGATTTAATGTATAATGGTTATTGGTTATCATTTTGTAAGGCGTGTTATTGGTTTTGGAGATTTAAAACGTATAAAACGATTTTTTTTTCAACTATCGTTTACTATATATTTTTATTGCTTCTGTTAAAAACGATTATGCCGGCTGGAGTATCGGCTCAATATGGAAACATGCGATACGTTAAAAATGATTAGTAAACGATACATGTACCGAATAACAATGAATCAGTTATGATCCTAGTAGCTTTTGGGAAATTATTAGCCGAGAAATGGCACTTTTATAGATAGATTATGAAATACTAGTGGCGGCTAATTTTCGTCGACGACTACTTAAGGTGCCGGTTTTCCTTAGGTTTCGCATTACGCACGACGTGATACGCTTTAAATTGTTGACAAATATTTGCCCTCTCTTCCATTTACCTCCGGGTTGGCTTTTTCGAATAAACTGTTAGTCCCTGCTGTCGACGGCGTCGTTTCTTTAGACAAGCGATCACGTTTCACCGGCCTTTAGTTGACAACCGATCGACATTGAAATGACAAGACGGCAACGCGTTTTCATTGCATACCTTGAAACATGCTGGCAGCTACCGTTCGGCCGGCGTGTCAATCTCGTCGTTCCGGGGATTCGTCTCGTCCCTGTCTTCTGACCGGCGCAGATTAATTATCATCCGTACATTAGGAGGTAAATTACGATTTTTCCGCCGTGTCTACACACTCAGGCTATCCGGCCAGTGGCGCTAGACAACAAGATAAATGTACGTCAGGTCTGGGTAAGGCGGCCGGCGTTTGAAAACCGATTGTCCTGTACATAAAAGAGCTTTGATCGTCAACTGCAAGCTGAGGTACCATGGCGGACAGAGATCGGAGAATAGTAAGCGCTCGACGATAATTTGACAGGCCGCGTCTGGGTCGGGCACGAAAGATTTCTGTACTCCTTTAGGACGATCCCATTAATCAATCTGCTCATTCCTCACCGCTATCCCACGTCAAATGGTGGAATTGTATAAGCTATATATATATTATAACGGATATTTCGACCAGTGTACAGCATTCGTTTCCGTGATTAATAATATTTCTCTGCCCTAGTCTTTCACTCCTCTTAATGTCTTCCCCGACGGCCGGCCGGTGAATAGAAATATATATATTTTTCCTCGCTTGGTACGTCCACGAATTATAATATATTTATAACTAAACAGCTATTTTCTGACACCTCGTATTCGGTATTTTGTATTTCTTCGCTCGAACTTGGAGGCAACACTTTTGCATAATATTGTTTGTATTAACCTTCAATTATTATTGCTTGGTTCGTGTTAATACGTATCGTTGACAAACAAAATCTAATAATTACATATTAATTGTCTTTATAAGACAAATATTCATAAGGGATAATGTATTAGAGGAAATTATATCTAACTATATTATAACTTCGAGCAGTAACGTATTTAGGTATGCGGTCCTAGGGCGATGCATTCATGTTTGAGATACAAAATAAGCTAGACATTTTTAATTAAAATTTGTTTCCTTCTAAAATGACATCTCCGATACTTAAACCGTTTAAGTTAAAAATGAAATATTTATCCATAACACAAAACTTTTGAAAACTTGTTTTGAAATTAATAAATCAGCTGGCATTACAAAATTTACTGTGATTAGAGTTGAGAATAGTAAAAAAAAAAAATATCCTGGACAGTTATTATACTTTTTATTTAATCCAGTTCCAATTTGTAAGATTTATGACAATAATTTTAAAAAATCGCTGTTTTTCATTTAACGATACAACTAAATGTGGAAATAAGAAGATAAAACCAGTATACCATGGTCCAATGGGCTATGTGTGAGTTTTGCGTTAAAAAAAAAA